CNCCTGAAAATTGTATGCAATCTAGTTTAAAAAAGCATGGAATCTATGCTGAAAAAGTATGGAATCCAGAGGGCATGTCAGCATTGGAATGTATGGTGAACATGTATGGCAATCTGTGTGGTGATCTGTATGGCTGGAAATGTGACATTAGACATGTGATGTTCAAATATTAGTCTGTGTCACATCGTGCAGTTCACCATTCTCCTTATTGACCTAGTTGAGCAGCTCAAAGGCCATGCTGTGCTTCAGGGGATCTCCCCTAGTATTCTCATGCACTTACAAGACTTACATCTTTTTACATCTCATCTGTATGTAATACTGCCCATGGGGGAAAGAGTGCAAACGATGTTTGTAAGGATATACATGACTACCCCCACTTGGTAAAGACACCCTAGACAGAAGACGGCAGTCAGCATCAGGTGGTCTCAATCAGAAGAGGAAGGGCACATGGAGGCCTCGACAATATACTCAGCACCAGCCAAGCTCCAAGTCACACTCACCAACAATGATGATGGGCTTGCCATCAACAGTGAGCTTGCCATCCTTGGCCTCGATGGCTCCCTTGAGTCATCCATGCACAGAATGTATATGCATATTAATGGAGGGAGACACAAAAGGAATGCATAGTAGCACCCTGGATAGGACTTATCTTATTTATCACTGATGCTGTTTATAAATAATGAGGTTACTTGGACTATGGAGGGATGCATATCAAGTGCCTATACTTATTCCATGAATGTAAATAATCTCAGGAATTCTTTAAGACAGTAGGTAGAATAACTGGGAAGTTGGGGTCTCAGTCCTTGCATCCTTGAGACTGTCCAGCATGATTATATCAAAGCAGAAGTGATTACAACTTGCACATACCAAAGGGTTATGGCTCACTGTTTGCATAGAGCTATTATATGGAAAATCTTCTTTTTTTATTTCAAGGGGAAAGAGATGATAGCTACTGTACATCATGCATACTATATAAAAACACAAAACTAGCTTATACTGTACATACAAAATGGACTCAAAACCAGAGACCTCAAAAGAAAGAAAACATGTTTTTTTGAAAGTTCCCCAAAGAATGTCCTGTCAACTGGTAAAGGGTTATTCACATAGGCAATAAACCAGCACTTGCATTGAATGCTATTATAAGACTGGTGAAAAACATTGGCTCCAATTTGTACCATGGACAAAGTTACTAAAATCAAGTATAGTTGGAGTGGTGCCCAATACATTGACTGTTCGTGGAAAGAGTAAACCATGCTTATTTCTTGGTGGAACCCAGAAGAGATATGACTTGGAATCTTCTCCCATCATCCAATTTCTAACTGTCTGTCCCTCAGAGGGATAAAAACCAACAAGGTTTCTCTTGAACATGCGGGATACACCGTGATGGGTATCAGTGTCATTAACATTGATTCTGACTCGAGATGGCAAGAATGTGGATGACAATGCAACTGAAGGAGCTAAGGGATTTAAGTCTATGCAGGCTTCATGAGCATCCCAGAGTTTGATAGTATTGTCTGAAGAGCCAGAAGCAATATGCCTACCATCAGGGGAGAATACAACTGATTGAACTCTATTGTAATGGCCTTTAAATGGATCTCCCAAACTGTCACCTGTTAGAGCATGCCAGAGTCTAATTGTTTTGTCATGAGAACCAGAAACAATGTACCTCCCATCAGGAGAGAATGCAACTGAACTAACATGAGAATCATGCCCCATGAGAGGAGTCATCACACTTTGACCTGTGTGAAAATCCCACACTCTGACAGTTTTATCATGAGATCCAGACACAATATACCTTCCATCAGGAGAAAAGGCAACAGACATAACACCATACTTATGACCTTTAAGAGGGTTCATTATACTTTGACCTGTCAGGGCATCCCATGCTCTGATTGTTCTGTCTCCAGACCCAGAGATGATGAATCTGCCATCTGGAGAAAATGAAACTGAATAAATCCGATTATTGTGGCCTGTGAAAAAATCCAACACACTCTGCCCTGTCAGTGCATTCCAGACCCTGACTGTCTTATCAAAAGATCCAGAGGCAATGTATCTACCATCAGGAGAAAATGCAACAGAAATGACTTCTTGATCATGGCCTTTGAGAGGATCCATGACACACTGACCTGTTGAAGCATCCCAGACTCTGACTGTGCAATCATGAGATCCAGAGGCAATATATCTGCCATCAGGAGAAAATGCAACTGATGTAACCTCCCTGTCATGACCTCTAAGTGGACCCATGACACTTATACCTGTCAGAGCATCCCAAATTCTGAGTGTTGCATCATTAGACCCAGAGACAATGTGTTTGCCATTAGGAGAAAATGCAACTGATCCTATTGCCTTGTCATGGCCTCTTACATGATCTATCTCAGTGTGACTTGTCAGAGCATCCCAAACTTTGATCATATCCCCACATCCAGAAATAATATGCTTGCCATCGGGTGAAAAAGCAACTGAATCAACTGAGCCCTCATCATCTCCAAGAGGACTTAACATGCAGTGACTTGTCAGAGCATTCCACAGTCTAATTATGTGGTTTGTAGTTCCACACAGAATGTGCTTGCCATCAGGAGAAAAAGCTATTGTTTGGATGGGGTCAGAGCCTCTATAAAGAACCATTACACTCTGACCAGATGAAGCATCCCAGACTCTGATTGTCTTGTCATAAGATCCAGAAACAATATTCATTCCATCAGGAGAATATGCAACACAGTTGACCACATCATCATGACCAAAGAGTGGATGCATCACACACTGACCTGTTCCAGCATTCCAGATTCTGACTGTGTGATCAGAGGACCCTGAAACAATATGCCAGCCACTTGGAGAATATGCAACTGAATTAACACCACCACCATGGCCTTTTAGAGGATCCATGACACACTGGCCTGTCAGAGTATTCCAGACTCTGATTGTCTTATCACCTGATCCAGAGACAATGTGCCCACCATCTGGAGAAAATGCAACTGAACTAACCCAATCATCATGGCCTTTGACAGGACCCATGATACACTGGCCTGTCAAAGCATTCCACACTCTGATTGTCTTGTCAAAAGATCCTGAGATTATGTGTTTCCCATCAGGAGAATATACAATTGAAGTAATATGGTCAGCATAGCCTTCAAGCTTCATAACATTATGGCCTGTGAAAGCATCCCAGATATGAATAGCTCCTTCATCAGATCCAGAGACAATGTGCCTGCCATCAGGTGAATATGCAAGTGGACCACTACTACCCTTTATTCTGAGAAGGCACCTGTGTGGCCACTGCTTCATCTGACCATTCTCAATTGTCAAAGTCTTTACAAAACATTTCATGAAATGCAGACATATTTTAGAATTTTGAGGTGCAAATGGCAGTGCTGAGATGTAAATGTGTGGTGCTGATTCAGATATTGGCTCAAAGAATGTCATTATAAATTGGTTTGCATCACTTGCAAACTCTGACATACTAGGCTTCAATGCCTACATTTGATTTGTTCATATCAGCATCATAATAGTATATTTTCATAAGACACTTACACTGCACCAATTTTCAGTCAACAGCAGTAAGTGAGCGGCATGATTTACAGCCTCCATCAGGCTCATAATTTCTAGCCAATGTAAAAGATGGTTCATCAAAAAATCCTCCATCTGAACTATTATCTCCTCTTGCAATACCTCATCAGAATATGTTTGCAGATAAAGTGCCCAGAAGTAGCTTGCATGAGCTAGAGCAGTAGATTTCACATTTCTAATATGGTCCATCAGGTTTGGAACATCTTTATTTAGAATATGTGATGTTTTCAGATCAAAAAAGTTGAATTTGAGCTTTGCACTCATATATTTCATGCAAGATCCAGCAAAACAGAGACTATGCTTCTGAGCATCTACCCAAAAAGCCTTAGAGCGCTTTTGGTCAAGCAGAAAATCTGTAAATGACTGATGACAGATCTGCAAATGGCCAGAATCACTGATTAACAGTACTGGGCTGAGTTGGCTAACTATCAACAATACACCTTGAACTCCCAAAAGCTGTTCAAGATCACTTGCACAAAGTGGGTTCTTTGCAATAACAATTGCTCCTAAAACTGATGATAAAGAACTTTTCTCTGCTTCTCTTAACCCTTGGAAAGCAACAGAAACAATGTGCTGGTACAAGGTGTCAATAGCATCAATGCCTTCCCCAGAGTCAGAGCAAATGACATTCAACCTTTCTTCAGTGTCACCACCTCTGTGCAAAATAAAGTCCATTGCAGATTTAGCCCAGATATAGAGGCCAGCAGCCTTCCTTACAAGAAAGGAAATTTTATCTGGACCAGGCCAATCCAAATGCAGTGATGTTTGCAATCTAGTCATGTGAGAGAATCTTGTAGTAAAGTAAAGCTCAAGATCTTGAGAGGTCTGATCAGAAACTTGATCCCCAGTATGAAGATCAATATGCTGGCTAACAGAATCCAGTGTTCCCTGAATAGCAAGATAGCGACGACTTGTGATGAAAATTTTCAGACACTTGGGAAGCAGCCAAGACCAGGACTTCAATGAAGGTAAAAGCTTCTCATACTGGTCACATTCATCAAGAGCATCAATAACAATAAGAAGAGGTGTTCCAGTGTCTTGAAACACCTCTCGAACTGGTTTAACAATGAGATGCTCAAACTGCATAGAAATATCAAGACCTCTGATGTTAGCTTTCTGTGTCTCTAATGCCTTA